CATGTTGATATGATTTATTAGATTGAGCGCTCTGCAGGTACTAACGAGTATGGAGCACAGCTACAAGGTGTTCCGCTGCACACATGGGTGCTCGCAAAAGTCTCGCAGCAAAGGTCGGCGCAGTACGCCAAGTCGATACACTGGATGTCAAGCCCGCTTCACAGCTGCAGTAAGAAATGTTGCCGCACAAGGAGAAAAACCAGAGTGGAAAATTGTTTTACGGAGCTGGGTACGTGGCCGTACAATTGTTGAATAGTTTGATGAACTATTAACAAGCTGATGTCTCTGATTGTAGACATGGACACATAATCACCGCACGAACGCAACGATTTACCCGAGTTACTTTGGAGCCGGGTCGATACCGGAAGATAGTCTGGTTCTCGAACAAGTGGGCCTTCTTGCCGATGCAAACACAGACTCGCGTCGCATTCAAGAGTTTCTATCGGGCGCCTTGGACCGTCAGGTGACACCCCAGCAAGCGCGTAATATTGTGCAAAGGGTACTGAGAAGTACTTCCGCTGATAAACAGCTAACGCGCATGTTTGATACCCTCGCGGAGTTCAAGAATCATGAGGTACTTGTTATCCACGATCAAAACGACGTGACGTCCGGCGTTGTGATGCAAAGTGCCACTCAAAAGGTAGCTTTTGAGCAATGGGGTGACACTTTATGCATGGACTGGACTTACAAGCACGGTAACTTGGGGTTTCATCTCGGTAAGATTACTCATTAATTGTGTGAAGTCATACAAATTTCCTTCAATGTTTTTCGTTCGGCGCCCTTATCTTTGCGGCGCCTTTACGCTAGGCACCCTTCTCTCTAGGGCGCCCTTATCTCTGGTGTAGCATCCTTACTAATTGTCTCTTATCTATATGTAAATACAGGTGGCCTGCTGGTGACTAGTGCAACAGGACGTGGCGTGCCTGTACTAGACTTTATCGCTCTCAACGAAAACATGGAAACAATGGAGACTATTTTGGAATTTTTTAAGACGCACAACAATTCGTGGAGAAACATTGAGACCTTTGTGATAGACAAAGACTTCAAGGAATGGAAAGTGTTAGAGAGATGCTTCCCCCAAGCCACAGTGCTACTCTGCCAGTTTCACACCATGGCGAACTGGAAAAATATTTATAAAGCGGGCAGAGTATGGGCTTAATGGTGTTCAGCGAGATGAAGTGGAGATCTCGATCAAGCAGATGATGTACAGTACTACCAGAGAAGCTTTTGAGCGAGCAAGAGATGGATTCGAGAAACTGTGTAAAGGAAAGTGTCCCGATATTTGTAGTAAGCCGTGCCCAAAGATTTTTTCGTACTTTCAAAACAACTGGGAGTAGTGTAGCGATATGTGGTCGACCCTTGGTCGTGGGAATTACTTTACAGCGGGCAATACGACGACGAATAGGATTAAAAGCAATTGGAACCAGCTTAAACGGCTTCTTGGGAAAAAATCACGGATTGATCGAACAATCGCGGGATTACTACAAAACCAAATCAATGGTGTCAACCACGTCCTGACATCGTTGCGCAAGTTTTCAAGTCAGTCGCGTCCACCAGATGATATTCCTTGGTTCTTGCAACGCGTTGCTGCAAAGCTGTCTAACGACACATTTGTGAAGGTTTCGTTGCAGTGGAACTTGTTCATGGTGCACCAGAGTGAAGCTACATGTCGGCACGTCGGGTTGGCCCAATCCAAATGGAAAGTGTGTTTGCATGGTCAAGAATGGTGTGTTGACGATCTGCTATGGTCGTGCAATTGTTTGTTCTATAAAAGCTGCCGACTTCCTTGCCAGCACGTAATGATTGTTGCTAGCAAAATTCATGGATTCGAATCACTTCCAGCAGAATCAGTACCAGCTCGATGGAGCATGACAAAGACTGAAGAATTGTACGCGACGTTTGAAAATGGGTTGAATTCGCTTCGTGAGGTGGTTAATATGGTGAAGGCACGACCACCTCCGGTTATGGCGCCCCAAGTCGTTGCAGCAACCTTAAAGAATACTTCTACTACGGCTCTGAGCACGGGAAAACGTTCTGTTAAGTACGTGCGTCTACGACGAAAAGAACAGACAAATATGGTTGTCTTATCCGACGCTGAGAAATATGCAAGAGCACAAGCAATGTTTGAGCCAATTATTGAAAAACTTAGTGCGTTACCGACAGTTGACTTTTACCAGCAGATGAGCAAGTGGAAGACAGTGCTCGAGGAAGAAGTAGGGGGTGACTGTGGATCCATTGACGATAGCTTCGATAGTGATACGGGAAGCTACCTGGACCAACTTGATTACGCAGATGTGATGGCCGAAATGGAAGTTGATCAAGAACAGGTCATGAAGGCTGAATCTCTAGCTGACCTCGCTCGAAAGTGGAGCATTTCGATGCACGACGTTTCTCTTTCAGACAAAGATACAGTGCCGTCCGATAATGTGTTTGTAGAACCAACACAACCTGCGCAACCTTCTGAACAACCTGCACTACAATTCTCTCCAGACGACGAGGACGTGGATACATCTGACATCAAAACAAACCAATCCAAAGTCCTGCCTGTGGAGGCTACCGTGTCATCGGTCATTCTTTTCAAAGCTCGAGATCTTAAATTTCTCCAGCTCCCAGCCCCCAAACCTCGAACAAGAAAAAAGAAGAAGCAAGGATGGAGCACCCCACAGCCGAAGTTTGCTCTTGTTTTCTTTTCTTTCGAGGTGACGACAACGATGACAGAAATTATTCAGTGGTCTAACTATCATCTAAACGTGGAGAAGGTCTCGAATGTGCTCGACCAGTATCCAGTGCGTATGACTGACAAATTCATCCAAGCTCGTCCCGTTAGATGTGAAATTGCAACGGAAACCAGCGCGAACAGCCACAAGGAACATTCATTTGTTATTCCAGACGTTCTTTTGAAAAAAGCAGAGGCTTCGATGCTGAACAAGAGGGCCCGTCTTGCTGCTAATAAGGAAGACGCACCATGGGGGCTCATGGTTTCATTCGGCTCAAGCGAAATCGCTCTATACAGGTACGTCAACAGTTTCTTCTCTGCAGTACCAAGGGTGCTACAAGAATATTAAGGTTGCTCGAGGAGTACTAAGGGCGCCACATCACAATTATTAAGTCGTGTGTTTGCTACTAACACTGGTGATGTCTATGTAGCTCTTTCTTGTACAGAATGAGGAGTTTTTACGACATAAAGGCGAAATCGAAGGGTTACCTTGAAGACCTGAAGTGGATAAAACAGGAATGGCGCTTTGTTCAAGCTCACCCAGTTGAATTATTTGTTTTGGAGACCAAAACGAACGGGTTGCTACATTCCGAATCTACACAAATGCACGAAGCACTGTCCGACGATGTGATCAAGAAGTTTTCGACACTATCGCTGATGACAGAGCTGAAGACCAAGTCGGGAACCTGCGTTGTAAAGTTCAGCGATATTGCTTGTGGAGTCCTACGCGGCAGGCTAAACGACGCTGCCATCGACATGGCAATCACTTTGATAGCAGAGAGTGCACGAGGATGTGTTGCCTTTTCATCGCTGACTCTGGCATTGCGATGGCCAAAGCCACCAGAGCAATGATTATCTCAGACGCAATTTGTGATTCTGCCGCTTCACTTGAGTACGGATCACTGGGGAGTTATCGTCGTGGAAGTTATGTTCCCAACAACGCTGAGAGTGAACTTTTACGAGCCGCTTCATCAGCAATGCTATCGCAAAGAAGTTTTGAGCGCATGGAAAAATGAGCTACTGCCGTACTTGCAAAGGTGGCATATTGATAGTGGCTCAAAAGAATCGTTTCCAAAAGAAGTAATTACGAGCTGGATCCGTGAGCCGACTCAGCCCGATGGTATCTGCTGTGGAGTGATGATCATCGGAATGGTTTACTCATATGTGCTCAACGCTCGCAGATTTGGGCGTCTTCGTGTCACTGACGCGTATTTACGCGTTATGCGATTGAGACTCGCATGGATGTTGCTGTGTACAACAAAGCGGGTACTGACAAGCACCGGGAATTTAGCTGAAATGCAGAAGACGGATGAAGAAATCAGCAGGTTCTCCGCGTCAACATAAACATCGTGCTACATTCAGGAGCGAGCTACTACTTTGTTCCTTATCAATATAACAAACCACATGTATGTTTAGCATTTTCACTCCTATTTTGACAATTCACTTCTACATTGGGCGTTGCATAGCGCCATTGCCTTGCTCGCTTCACGTGCAAGTCCTTTATTATCTCTCCTTAAAATGCAAACGCTAGGTCGAGCCTCTCGCTCTCATCTCTAGAGCGCAGCTCGTGCACCACGTACATGTACCTGGTGCTATTAAATACCTGGTGCTTCAGAAAAAAAAGTTGTTGATGGATTAGCTGCTACAACAAGACAATCAAATGTGACAGTAAAATGTGATGAAATGCAAAATTGACAATATGGACGGCACTATCGTGAAACTTCGCCTCTGTCGGCTGCCTCTGTTGGTAATTTATTTCCACAAATAAGGGCGCTGATCAGTGCTAATGGTGCGGAAGCACGGCTCTAAGGCTGTTGTGTTGTCGTCTTCTTAGGGTGCCTTAACGCCATTCATAGTAAATACATATATACTGAGTTTGTGTATGTCACTGATTGTGCTGTTTTTCAGAGATTTGTCCTTTCTGCTTGTTGCAAGCGACATTTTGCCTCGATTGAGTAAGGATAACCAAGGTAGCTGCTGAGAGTCACGCATTTTACTCGAATTTATCAAACACTTCAAAGCTGTTTGCGAACATGTTGCTGCGATCCAATTGCACTTACGTGGAACGCTATCGGTTATCGTGATACACGCTTTCAAATGCCCTGACATCTGTCAACGCTATGAGCATCGGTTCGATCGCTTCGTCGAGCTCAGTTCAAGAATGGCGAAACCTGCCATCACGAGTCCCGAGCCGAGAATAAATTGCCACGAGAACGACGCGTGATGGATGAGCGTGTCCATTATTCCAGACAGCGGGATCGTAAGCATGAATCCGACGCTGGTCTCAAGTGGCGACGTCCAGCAGATCGCAGGACTCAAACAGACGAAATTGATCACGAAGAAGACGATAGCCGCAGTCAACGCGAAGCCCCCCTTCTTCATTGGTAGGGAGCCCCACGTCTTCGTAAAGCGAAGGGATCGGGCTGTTGGCGAAGAAAATTGTGCCAATAATCCACGGCGGGAAGGCGAACACACCACACAGTCCAGAAAAGGCGAAGAGAGTGAAGATGTCGTTCATATCGTCCCCTATAAATTTCGAAAGAGTGACAGAAAACATGGCACTCATCGCTGCGGCTGTCAGCATCATCATTGCCGCTACAATGCTCGCTCCTTTGGCTTCCTCGTCGTTATCTCCCCGCCTTGATTCATCACGACCATCATCACTCCGCCGAACGCTGTCAAGACGCCTGAGAGCTTCTTGATCGACGCTTTGCTCGCTTAGTAGGCAGATGGAGAAGCAGTACACAAAGAGCGGCGAGCTGTTGAAGATCGCAGCTCCTGTAGCCACAGCTAAGTTCTTGAACGAGGAGAACCAGAAGTAGTCGGAGACGAGGTAGAACACTCCAAAGAAGGCGGATAGTCGCCAGAGTCTGGACAGCGGGATCACGGAGTGACGCTCGAGCACTCGAAGAAGATTGAAACCAGATCGCTGATCTTCTGGACTACCCCAAACGCGATAGTAGATGAACATCAGCGGCAAGATCACGATCTTTAGACCACCACAAGAATTAATTGTCAAGGTGTACAGATTGTTTTAGTACAAGGACGACCGAGCAACTTACGGGCGCAGCGTGACTAAAGCACATGATGAAAAAAGGTTTTTGAAAGTTGATAGGTCCCTGCAGGCAGACTCCACGTTAGGTGGTGATAACGACTCTGTATTCCAAGTAGCAGATCCAGCCTGAAGTCATTGCACAGACTCCGCCTGAAGGATATTCGTACAAATTACGCCTAAAGATCAATCAAACGTTAAGTACTAAAAGTATTAAATAAATGTAACATTCATTACATCCGTACCAAACAGCGCAACCAGACGTCTCTTGTCAAAGTCCACCTTCATCTTGCTCCCGCATTCTACGTCGCCAAGCAACCTGGTGCGATCGTTTGGGTGTAATTGCGAGTAAACCGGAACATTGCCACAATTGCACATTCTATTCGCAGATGTTGGCGTCCTGGAGTCCAAATGTCGAGCCCTCGAACCTGGTTGCTGACTCGATGCGTCTTCGAGGACGCAACTTGATAAATGGCACACGGCAGATAGCTACGAATCTTCGAACCAGGCTCACAGGTATTTGCATGCGTAAAGTAAACGAACCAGGAATCAATGATTGCGTGGCATTTTTTCTTTGCCACGCCATCCATAAAATATTTTATTCAACGTAGTAAAACACGCATCAAAAATGCCCCTTCACACTTCGCTGGTGATCGTCCATGAGTGAGCAGTCGCTACGACCGCTTCAAGTTTTGCTGAGGGCTATAGCTAAAGCTTAGCGGTTTAGCCTAAGCCCATTTATAAAGGCCACTTAACAGTAATGAATCCTCAAGTACTCCTCAGTAACATTTTCGCTGCTCAATGAAACAAACTATCAAAACTGCGCCCGAAGGACCATCGTGTTCAGGTTTTTTGTTGGCACAGAGGACAAGTGGACAATGTGTCATTACCTTTGCAGTATTCTGACCACACTCTGATACATCCTCGATGGAAAGTGTGGCCGCAGTCCCCAGTTCTAAGGCACTGATCCCTTCTCAAGCCGAACGGTGCCCAACAGATTGAGCAGACATTGCTCTTCCGAACGACAGCAGAACGGGAGAATCCCGGCATCTGTACCGCGATGGCATCACGTTTTGACTTGGCCACAATGAGGAGACTGTCCCACTTGACCGTAGCTCCAGCTTGGTCGGTATCAAATCGATAATACTTTTCACCTCGAGCATTTCTCCAAGTCGAGCTGATGGAAAAGTCGTCGCGCGAGCGCTTGCCGTCGAATTTCCATGCACAATTGTAGAATCCGCACGTGATTGGCGGGAATGGTTTCTTACATATCGGACACTTGACGTCTGTATCGGTCGAGAGGTTGAACGCTTCGTATCCGTTCTGATGAATGACCATCTCTCCAAAGGCCTTACAGCGACGATTCTTGCACTCCCCTTCTATGTTGATACCCTCAGTGCATGTTCGCCACCCCGGGGCTTTGGCATCGAGTTGCAGCTCCACCAGCCACGTGTCTTCATAATCAAGATCAGCAAAGTCTATGGGGCCTCCTCCTCCTCTCATCCTGAGAGTTAGGTGCAAAGTGCATTCTGCTTTCACGTCGTAATGCTCAAGCGTGTTCCTCTTTTCAAGTGCCCTTCCATCAAGAACGAGACGCTGCTGGTCAGGTGGGATGCCTTCACGATCGTAAATCTGTTTTTTTAATTCTCCGACTGTGTAATTCACTGGGACTGACAGGAACATGCATTTCCCTGTTAGAGTCTTTACGGTGACGTCCACAAATCGAGGAATGAACCTCGTTCGAGCGACGAGACGTGCAGAACTGGATGTCAAGTCGGGAATAACAGCGTCGAGCTCTCTACTGTGATCCAGCTCGGCTCCATACAGTAACATGTTGTCGACAATGCGTGCACTTCCTTTCTCGTCGGACGCAGCTCGAAATTTCGCGTTAAGAACGCCAATGAGGCTGCTGACACTCGCATTCTCCAGTAAATCGGAAGCTTGCACCTCCACGATACCTTGCAGACCTTGACTGAATCTGTCTGTAAACGGTATGCTCAGCGTGATTCCTCCCATCTGGCTGATGTGCTGCGAAGATATCAAAATGAGCTGAGAAATATTGGCATTTTATTGTGATTTTTTGATAAGCGAAAAATAACAAAAAGACGCAGAAGTTTGTCTTGGGTTTGCTGATCAACGCAGAGAAAATATAGTCAAACTGCATTACAGGCATAAATCATTCGATCATCCACGCAACCGGTAATAGTAAATGTCCCAATTTCATATTTCAAGCTACCGGCACTACATGTAGTTTCCTATCCAATCTTTGTGCGAGAATGGTAATATAGGAATACATAGGTAGCAGTTGTCCTACATGTATCCAACGTAGTACGAGACTGGTTTTATATGGAAATTCGTGTGCGGCGTGAAACGATCACACAAAAATAGCAAAACAAGCACAACTTGTGCGCTGGAGCCTGTCCCAATTGTGACGATGCCTGGTTCCTCTAAATCCTCGGTCTTTTCACGGTACGAGCATAACACTAAAGGAGCTCGCCTTGCGTGGCTCACTGTTAGATAGCGTACAGATCGTCAGGAAAGCAGACGGCGACAAACAACGCCAGCAACCTCAATCGAAGTGAGCGCTCAATCGTAACTTTGTGTCTCCTGTGCGGCATTGTAAATTGACTTCCTTTTGAACATAGGCCACAAATTACTGCTACGCAACGAAAGTGACTTTGATGAGGTAGGAGCGTAAGCTTTGTTACTGACGATGGATTCTTTTCTGACGTCTTTGCAGACAGCTTCCGTAGCATCAACGACGAGTTCTCGAAGCTCGACTTCGACTTTATCTCGGTTTAGCCAAAACAGTCGATGGACTGAAAGAAATCCGGGTTCATTTGCGACATCATGTGCGTTGATACTAAAGAGAACTAAACACCAAATTATACCCGGGAATCTAATGATAACGCTGTAGATGCATCCCTATCTGATCTGGAACTACGCAAAAACCAAATCGAACGTGAGCTAGCGCAAGTGCAACGCGAGTTGCAACTACGAGAATCCCAGCAAGCTACAGCACGTGTGTCGTCTATCAGCAAAGTCGCAAGGTAACTGAGATTAGCACTGCAACCGAAGAAGTCAAAGCTGCATTAGGTGTTTTTCAAATACAAATCGATAAATATTAATTATAATGCATGCATCTTTCTGTAGAGAACTTAAGAAACTGCACTTCATTGTCTTCTCGCCAGTCGAACCGCACTGCCTCTCGAAAAGCTCAGACTGTTCTTGATTGGCTGATTCTATACTTTAATGTTGCGTTAATGTTGCGCCAAGTCGAGATCGTCGTGTTAAGTCGCCTTCGAGCATCATGACGGACATGGCGCCCCCGCGATTGAGCGGCACCATTTGGAAGCGCAACGCTGGCATCCTACGCGCTTGGCACAGTCGGTAGTCGCCTCAGAGCTGCCTGCTCCGCGTTATAATAAGTGAGAGGGAGTCTAACGTGTTGTTTATTCTTGTTCGTTTTAAAGAGCAGCTGTGGTGACAGCTGACGGATTTTTATTATACAAGAAAAAAGTGGACGCGTGTGTTTTTACGTTATTTTTATTTATTATCTGCGGTGTTGCCTTCACGCTTACGTACATGCACGGTATTAAATTATTTGTCAACTATCCTCAGAACCAAGACGAAGAAGATCGACCTGGTCAAAGTGAGATTACCTAAAATTGCTGTCAAATTATTAGAACTTAAGGCTAAATTATCTGTTGTTTTCAATTACTTTTAGGCGACATTTGCTGCGACGATTGCGCAGGCTAGCGGGTATTACTTCTTCGAGCTGCAATGCGGGTCGACACAAGTGGCGATTGGATTTCCAGCGGTTCAAGATGCTCGACTGTGGCTGAGCGGCATGATGGAGGCAGCAGGTGCGTACGTCGATAAAACTTTGGATATTTAAAAAATATTAGCACTTTTAGGTGTTAATAAAAAATCGTTTTTATAGATGAAAACAGTGCGGGTCGACGAGCGTGGATGGCGAATTTAAGTCGCATGTTGACGCTCAAGTTGCGTGACCGACGCGAGTTAGTGCCGGCCATGGCGGACAGGGATTGGTTCAGCGAGTGGAATTTCTGTCTGCGGTGAGAAAATTAAATTGTTTTATTTAATTTCTAACAATGCTGATATAGTTTTTTCATAGATCGCTGAAGAATGATAGAGAACCAATGGCAGCGCGTCAAAGACGACTGCGACGACTGCATACGGTGCGTATGGTGCTTGTTTTTGTCACTTGATCTCACTTTCCTTTAAGAATAATTGTTTTTTTTCCGGTATTTAGATTTGGCTCCAATTCGAGTTATTCGCCGAAATTCTGGCGGAGATTTTCTTCTCGTCAGTGCAGCAGCGAGATGCACGCGGTCTCGCTCGAATCGAGTCTTTCGAGCGAGCAGCCAGCGACTTTGCGCTAACTGGGCAGAGACCCGACGTCCCTCAACTAGTAAACGACACCCAAGTGACCCACCCGAGTTTACTCTCGTCAGCTTCCACGTCATTCTCGTCCACCACAACTTCCCATCAAGGCACCGACCAGGATTTCCGAGTGAGCAACAGATCCGCCAGACGTGACGACGTGGACGAGATGAAACTCGCGGGGATTCACTTGCAATTCGCTTCCAAGAGCTGGCAGGGACACAAGCGATTGGCCAAAGAAACCGCTTTATTCGCCAAGTTCCGGTCGCTCATTGAGCTCTACCTCTCGGAGAGCACGTCGGACAATGGCAAGCTACCGTCTTCGCTTCGTGCGGTGCTCTCAAAGCTGCCGTCGTTCCCACTGGTGTCTGCGTTCTCCATCCGAGACGTGAGCGTTGTAGCCATCGCTGAGCCACTACGAAGCGAGAAATCAACGCTCGCAACGATCGATTACCATGACCTCGCGGGCTTGAGTATGGCACTGCGAGAAGCCAAAATGTTACGGTACTTCCCGTACCAAGAGCTACCGGAGCTCGTCGTTCGACAGTTCCCTGGCAATGTGGCGCCTACGTTGGTGAGCGTCCACCCTCGGTACGACAATGTATTGGTGAGCTCGCTACGGTCTTCGATGGTTCATGGAGTGCTGATCCGTGCGGCTCATAGTCGCGTTGAGTTGTTGTCTGCGCTTGACGTTGAAGAGCTGGTGGAAGGGAGAGAGCCGCAATGGATTCCGTACATGGATCTGGTGTACTGTCAGCTGGACAATGGAGATTCCCAAGTCGAGAACTTGGCGGTCAAGGACTTTTTACTGCAACGCTCTAGCCAGCGTCTTACGGGCGACGTTGTGGTCACAGTTGATGCCGAGAAGAGTAAGCTGCTGCTGGATTTACCCGAAGCTTTCGTGCTCAAGCACGACGTGGACATTCACCCTCTCGTACGAAAGCTACAAGACATTAAAAAGAACGCCCAGATCTTCGCCTTAGCAGCATCCAGTCCGACTTTTTCAGGACAGTCTCGACCGGTTGACACAAGTGTCCAGGTGGCTCGCGAATACGAAGATGCAGTCAAGAAACTCTTCGTCCAGCACATTAAACAATTCGCAGCGCAGCTAGTTACACTCGGAGACTCTGCAGACGCCTGTTCGACAGGAAGACCGAGAACGCCGACCTGGAATCAGGCTCAAAGCTCGTCCCGTGCCCGGCTCACGCGGTCCAATACGCTGTCCTCGATACCTCGCCCCGAAGATTTTTTCTCGTCGGTCCACTCGATGGAGTTTGAGCCGAGCTCTCAGCCTCGACTACAGCGCAGAATGTCGTCGTTGAGCTCCATGGCTCAGACCATTGGGGCAAGTGGCTCGGCTGATACCAACTCCGGCACCTACGTCATCGACACGTTGCATCTCCGTCAAGTTATGCGCGAAGGAGGAGTCAACGTGCGCTTCTTCCCGCTGGTTTTCCGGTATTTAAATTCTCGAGACCAACTCGGCGTCCAAGTGCTGGTGGCCAGTGAAATTATCGCTCGACTGGCCAAGAATTTGTTCCGATACCGCATGCTGAACCAAGATACCGGTAGTAAAAGTCGCTGGAAGGCCCGAAAGTCTCGTCTGATCCAGTTCATCGACTCCATTATGCACGGCCTTTTCCATAAGAACCTCCCCGACGGCCAGTGTGCGATTCAAGAATGCTCTGGCGACCAATTCTGGGACATCGACGGCCCCATACTGTACTCTCTAGGGGCCTTTGCGTCGAGTTTCGCGATGGATTCAAAGGCGCAGAGCGAAGTGATCGAGTCCGCGAGCGCGTGCTTGAACAAGTACCGGGACCTACTGAAGGTGAATCCTCCTATCCTCTTCAACAGCCTCCTGCATGTGTTCCAAGCGCGATTGACCAAATCGATCTTACCGGAACTGCACGAAAACCGGTTTGTGTCGGTACCATTCTTACGAACCGAAGACGACTTGACGTTCAACTACGAAGAAGACGACCCGAAACTTGCTATGCGGATCCACCAAGACTTGCTCTGGAGCCACTTGCAGTTCTTTCGCGTCCAATTTGAAGCCTTGAAACCGGAATTACCGGTATTGACCGGTATGGACCGACATGGCAATTTGGAGCGGACGACGTGGACACAGTATTATCGCACGCTATCGCAGATTTTCCGACAGAGCTTAGCTCACACACAGCCAACGCGCTTGGAGAAGGCGATCCAGTCATGGCAGGATTTAACGTCGGTGCGAACGCACTTGAGTCTGGCCTTACGCGCTGCTGCTGCACCTTCGTATCATCCGTCAGGAAGCAGCAAGACGTCTGCTATCATTCGAGAACACTGCAGTTTTGCGTACTTGCGAATGGCTTCAAGTAAAGCTCTCTTCCCGGTCGAATACAAGCTCGCGTTACGGTGTCTGGAGCTGGTGAGTACCGGTGAAGAACTGGCAAAGGCGATGGAAGAGTCCGAGGAACTGCTCGAATGGCTGAGATTCTTCTACCGACCAGCGAATCCCTCGCAATTCGCCAAAGGTTCGTCATCTCACCCGGTATTTTCGATCCAATACTTAACCGATACCGATCTAGAAACCGGTATACTGACCGATACTGGGGTCTCTCTTCGAGACCATTTCCAGCGTCACCAATCTCGACAGTCGTGGATGTGTGTCATGCCGAACGTGGACGCCTATTGTCGTCGCATTGAAGCCATGCGTCGAGATCCCGTGGCTATAGCAGCGACCAGAGCTGTGTTGTGTGAAATGGGGGTCGCGTCTCGCCCTATAAGTCCTTCCAGTAGAGACCACGGCGCTGTTATGGACGTGTCGTGGGCGGACAAGTACCAGACGTCGTTCAGCTTCAACCCACAGGACACGACCATGCCGTCATCCATGTACTCGTCAAGAGGAGACGCGCTCTGGTTTATCGAGTGCTTCTTCTTACCTCCACTCGCCAACAATTCCTCGCTTGTAGCAGGCGATGCATTGGTGAATAACGACGAGATCTCCAGGCGAATGACCACTACGCGTCCAGATATCGACGAAGGCCCCGTGCCTGGACTAGCGTTAGTTTGGGGTTATCCACTGGGTTTATCACTAGACGAAGAAGCTCGCATCAGCCCTGGCACGTCGACATTATCACTTCGGTTAAGTACGGAGAATTTATCTGCAGTTCGTATGGTCTCGTTCCCTCCGCCACTACGTCGAGTTGTCCAGATCGCGTGTGGATACCGTCATACCGCTCTAATTACCGACGATCGCCACCTGTATACCTTTGGACATGGAGAATGTGGACGCTTAGGACACGGAACCGAAGAGGATTGTACCGATCCGATACCGGTAGGATACTTTACGAGTCTTATCGCTGCTGAAGGTGTGGAGTTTGGTGGCGTTGTCGACGTTTCTTGTGGTCGAGAACACACGATGGTAGTGACAGGGAACGGAGACTTGTACGGCTTTGGATGGGGCGAAGCGGGTCGTCTGGGCACTGGAGAAACAGGCAGCAGTTTGTACCCATCTCGAGTGGACTTGAGGAACATTGCGGCGGTAGCGTGTGGACGGGAACACACACTGGCGCTTACGAGTAAAGGTCGAGTGTTCGCTTTCGGTGCTGGTTTCGGTGGTCGTCTCGGCAATGGCTCGGAGACGGATGAAGAGCTCCCATTCCTTGTAGAGGGGTTGGAAGAGTACAGCATTGTCGCGATTGCTGCCGGGGAATGTCATTCGTGTGCTCTAAGTAGAGACGGAGAAGTGTTGACGTGGGGATTTGGCAGCTCAGGAGCGCTGGGTCACGGTACTCGAGACAACTGTTTGATACCGACACTCGTGGACGGACCCTGGACAAACCCTAATGTCGAAACCCTAATTCATGACATCTCCGTCGTGACATCAGTTGCGTGTGGGAGTTATCACACGCTGGCCGCAACGAATGACGGCGTTCTGTACGGCTGGGGCGACGCTGCAGCGGGACAATTGGGGGCCGAGCACCTCTCAGCACAAGATTTGGTCGTCCTGTCTCCAAAGGAAATTCGACTTCCGACGAGCTCAGGGATCCGTGGAATCGCCTGTGGGACTTTTACGTCAGCAGTGTGTTCAACGCAAGGGCAACTCTTTATGTGGGGCTCCCCTGCAGCAGGAAACGGAGCCCCGTTGGATGTGGAAGACGCGCATGTCAAGAGAGTCGGCGTCTTGGGAGAGTTCGAGTTTTCCCAAATTGCATGCGGTACGTCGAGAATCTATTTTTTGTTTTTTTTCTTAAATTATTTATAACTTGTTGAACTCTTGTAGGAGCGTACCATGCTGTCGCAATCACTCGGAAGTTAGAATATTGCTAAGTCGTCTTGTACCCATGCGTTGGTCCTAATAGATCCATCACTTTTATTTTTCATAATTTCTTGAAAATAGCGACTTGTGACTTACAGAAGAAGTTCAGGGAAAAAGACATGAAACTGCTCTATTGTTGATCGCTAATAACTTTTTTCTTCTTTTGTATTTTGCACCATGACGGCGACTCGGGGCGATTCGAATGGGACGTCTCTGGAGCAGATTCTGCCTCAACTTCGACCCAAGCGTCCGACGCCAGCTCGAGGAGTTCTCTCTCCGCCACATGCGACTCGACAGCCTCAAGATGCTCCTCGTCTAAGCGAATCCGCAGCTACTTTTCCAGTGGCTCGACTCGTGGAGACGTCTCTGTACTTCTGGACCGTAGTGGCAGTCATCCTCGGCATTTTTCTAGCTTGTCTTGTTCTGTACATGCTTTACTTTAAAGAGGGTGGGGATCTCACCCCCACGCTACCATTCAACCTGGCTGCGTACGGTGGTTTAACCGTCACGTTGGCCTCCTGTTTTGGGCTCTACGGGCTGCTGCAACACCGAAGAATTGTCACCGAAGGAGGACGCAACTACTCGCTTGGAATGGTGCGTACTCTGCTTTAAATCTTCGGTTTACTGATATCACTAAGACCTCCGCTAGTTTGTCAGTCTAGGAACCATCGGAGCCATCGTTGTGGTTGTCGCTGGGGCGATGGCGTTGTCGCTTGTAAGTACCGTCGAGCAAGCACAAGACGGAGACTTTTCGAGCGATCGGGTCGTCGTGTTAGAGACGAATGTGATAATGAGGCTACACACCCAAGTCTTAAAGAGCAGCTCGTCGTGGCAGAGTACACAGAACGAGCTGAAATGCTGCGGCTACGACCGAGTTAGTGTCATGCAAGAAAATCTAAGCCCCAGTTCTTCGTGGGACGCTTCGCTTCAGACCGCAGTTGAAGACGCGAATGCTATCGCAGGCAGATACTGCTCCAGTCGCGTGTCCGAGTGCATCAGAACGGCGTCTGAACCGCATTGTCCCGTTCCAGGCCGAGAGTTTTGTCGTGTCGAGTTGCTAAAAGTTGCGCAGGCCAACTATTCTCTACTCGGCATCTGTGCGATCACGTTGGGGGCAACGCAACTTATCTTCAGCGTCTTTGGACTGTTTACATTACTCTGTGACGTCCGTCGGATTAGCGGGTCGTCTCCGATCTACCTGATGCGACACCGAACGCTGTCGCCGATCCAACCAAATACTGAAGTCTAGAATTGTTTTTTAAAGAGAAGATAGAAGTTAATTAAATAATGATTTAATGAAAAGTCGGGATGCCCCGATCTCCTAAAGCGAAGCGACCCATTGCAGCAACCCACGAGCCTTCTGTGGCTCACTCAAAGACTATCGAGAATGCTGTGCGTCCAGCTGTAGAGATCCAGGAACGGCGTCCAGCTTCACCAGTACAGTGGACGAGGACGCGAGTGAATCGTCGTCCACAATACCACGAGAAGGCCTCATTTCTCGAGCGAGAGTCGTTCAAAGGTCTTGGGTTGGGTACAGCAGAGCCCTACAGTACTTGGTTTCCAGGTACTACACTGGGAGAATCGTATCGCGTTGCCGATACTATATTCCAGGCAGCGCATCAAGCATCTCGAGAGACACGACCTGTTTCATGGGGATATGGGTACACCGATGGAGCGCTGGGGCATAATAATACTCGACGTGTAGTGGAGATGAAGACTTTGGTATCATTTCGTCGAAGTATTGTGCGAGCTGTATCGGCAGGAGATCGATTAAGTCTTTTTCTTACAGGTGAAAAGCTTGGTTTGGAATGGGATCCTCTGGAACTTGATACCTAGAATAATACTTTTTTATTGTAGATGACAATTGGATTTTCCAGTCTGGACGCTTGTTCGAGAAGCAGGATGGCTGTAATATGTGGAAACCGGATGAGATTAAGCTGGAAAGCCGTGCTACTATCGTTGCCGTAACAGCTGGACACCTCGCAGCGTACGCAGTTGATGGTGAGTTGATCAATAGCTTTAGTCGAGAATTGGGTACTTATTTGTTCCTTTTTGTCACTAGATCAAGGACGGTTGTATTCGTGGGGTACGCAGATTTTCGGCCAACTGGGTCATGGAGAGGAGTTGGAGCAAGAAGTTTCCATCCAAAGTGAGGAAGATACCGCCAACCCAAGTATCGAAGACAGACAAGCCAGTGATAATCCCGACGACGAGATAGAAAGTGAAGGAGAACCGCCGGTAAGAGCTGTCGTCGTGGAAAGGCACCCGAGACTGGTCGAAGACCTGAATGGCCATAGCATAGTTAAGATCTTTGCTGGAAACCACTTCGCCGTCGCTCTCACAAGTACTGGATTAGTGTTTTCTTGGGGTCGAGGTTGTTTCGGACAGCTTGGTAATGGCGACGTGGCTGACAACAGTAGTCCCGCTCGAATCGAAGCTCTGAAAGACTCTATCGCCATCGATATATCAGCTGGAATGAGTCACGTGGTAGGCGTTTTCGTCCCAAGGGGAAAAAACCATTCGTCAAACCAGCACGAAGAGAGTTTAGCAACCGAGCACACCGTCGTGATGGTATGGGGTCGAGGAAAGCACGGATGTCTGGGCCTGGGAGGCTCTAGTAACGAGCTACTCCCAAGGGAAAATATCTTCTTTCGAGGATTAGGAGCCGTCAAAGTCGCAGCCGGAACAGATCACTCGCTGGTTCTGTGTAGAGCCGGCGCTCAGACTTTCGTGTATGCGTTTGGAGGCAATCATTTGGGGCAGTTAGGGATTGCGTCCAGTGCCGACCACGTCGATATGCCCTCGTTCCTGGACGAGTTTGTCAATGTCCATGTAGCAGACATTGGAGCTGGGGCGCACTATTCTGCAGCTCTTACAGGTGCGTTAATGACCATGTTGGTGGTACAATAGACTCTCACGGATACGTAGGTGATGGCCAAGTATTCACGTGGGGCGATGCGCGTTACGGCAAAACGTGTCGAGCTGACGGACGGACGACATATGTACCGTGGAATGTTGACCTGCCAAGTAACATTCCTAGTAGTACTTTTGTTTCGCAGCTCTCGGTTGGGTCGCATCATTGTTTGGCTCAACTTCGCATCGGTACATCTTCCAGATCTACAATGAAGAGAGGGGAACTATTGCTAATCTTAATGTTTTGTAGGTGGACAAATAGATCGGTGGAGAAAGTTCCCACTTGGTGGAATTCTACCAGCTTTAAGTCACAAGGATCAGAGCAGTAAAGGTGCGTTGTCATTCCATGCAAACTCGAAGTGTTTCTGACTAACGGGTCGCCTGGTGTGACTTAGTGTCAGTTTGTCAGTGCAACAGTTCGCAAACGACGACACACAACACTCTTGGCATCTTCATCCAATGTGACACTTGTCACGTATCACCGCTGTGTCGAGTGTGCAGTCGTCGATGTCACAGGGGGCACGTACTTCAGCCAACTGCTATTGGACGAGGTCTGCAGCGTGCTTGCTCGTGTCCTAACCAAACTACGAGCACTAGAACCTCGTGCTTGTTCACATCCAGACTCCCGCCACTTATACCGGAAGAATGGTAAGCACAAATCTCAAGTCGTCAAGTCAGAATGCTAAAGTCGACACCTACACGAACAAATCACGTTAGTTTGTCGGTAAAATATTTTTTTTTCACTTGAGACGATTCTAACCGTAATGCGCGAGTGTTAAGTCCAGAATGATAATGGTCCACACGAACAAGTGGCCTTGCACAGCTTGCACATGCGTCTCGAGTACGAACGCTAGTTGATACAACGGTGAAAAGCCGAATTTACGCTTCAAGGTGACAAGCAGAGCGACAAACGCTGCGAATTCGATCGTAGCATAAATCAGGAAACTTGTCACTGCCTCCTGCAACCGTTTGGACGACATCGACGCTGTGCTTGGGTTGTGAGCTGCTATCGGTAAGCGAAACAACGCAGTCAGATATGGAGCATACAGCATCGGGATGATGAACTCGATGTACTCGGCCAGCAGAATATACTCGGAATGGAAGAGAGTATGCAGATCATCGGTAATAGTATCGCTTCTCGAAGTTTTAGAAATTAAAGAAATACCTTGAATAGTGAGAGGTGACGGACCCAATACTGTACTGGATTGAGCTGTTTGGTTACTTTTGTTCGCATTCCGCTTAGTTGATTGTCGTCGGCTGACTGCAGTGTAGTTGGTAAAAGTTCCCGTTCTTGAGAATTGTGCGATAAATTCCCTACTTTGTCCTACAGAAGCAGGGGAAATGGTGCCAGTAGCCGATATCTTCGAGACGTATCAGCCATCGCGCCCTCTTCCAATAATGATAGTAGTTCTTGGATAGTACGCTGTGACTTAGACTTGAAAGTAGTAACTTCTCGCTTGGTGACAAATTTGATCAGCGGCATCGCCAAAATGAATATTGTCTGTTGAGTCCTTAATAGGGTATTGAACACAGCGCTAAACAGTGTAAAACATCCCACGACGCCTCCCTGGTTAGCGATAATGAGAAGTTGCGAGTGAATTTGCTCTCGGTGAATGCTGCAAAACTCTCGGACCAATAACCAGAATCGTAAAAATCTAGAAGAATACACATTTAGTGCGATGATTGTAACGGGGTACGTAGCCCTAAGTGTACCCCTAGCTACATGAAGTGTGACACGTCATACTTCAGGATATCTGGTACATGGTACCAGGGTCGTCCGAGGCCAATGATGACAGTGCTTTCTAAGGTGACTTTTAGTTTGTTTATTTAGCTCAAGCTTAGCCTACCTTTACATATATTCAGCTTACAGCTCACCTTAAATTGGTCACTTCGCTCCCTTAGGCAAAGGGGGCCTGTGAGCTGCCGTTCACTGAGAGTTTGTATACTCTCGGAAGCCAACTTCTTCTAGCGTGTGATCCCGTCACATTGATAAACACATAATGGTGTTGGGAATCTTCACAGCACTGCAACTTCCGGTACTGTCGAGGCCCTGCACATAGCAGTCCCCAGAACGAATTTGACAATACCAGCGATTAGGTGCATTTTCGAGTCTCTCACTTGAAAAGCGACGCCTAAAGTTGCTGAGCACATCGAAAGAAACATGTAAATCCAAGCGGCATATTTAGCTCGCCAGCCGTCCACAGGAGGCTTAGGAGGGATACAATCGAGAGCGAACGCCGTTAATAAAGCAGGAATCGGAGCTAGGACACAAATTGCGACGACATGAGCAATCAAAGTACGCTGTGTGAAGGTAAGTAGTGGTGTTTCTCGTGCTTACCATACTCAAGTACAAGCAGAGGATTGCTGGGCAAAAGACCGAGCAGAAGGGCACGGGCTCAAGTTTGAGAATGCTGTGCGGCGACAGCGAGAGCCCTCCAGAGTGTATTCAAGACTTAGGAGATGATTGGCTGCAGTGACACTTACTTGCACATCCCGCGAGCTGGTCTGGAACCCAGCGGCGGGCGACGACTCAGGCGAGCATTTAGGACCACCATACATGTACTTCACACTCCCATTCGAACACGGCTGCTTCATCGCCTTGAATGCAGTCCGGGGCCGTCTCACTATGCTAGCTGCAGTACTAACACGCCCTTGCCCAGGCAATAGTTATTCTTCGTAGGGTAGCAGTAGTAGCTCCATCTAAATATCCACTTAGCTTCTTAATGTTCCGGTAGCGGTAAGACCTTCAACATCTCACGACAATGCTCAAACTTCACACGATCAAAGCGGTTTAGTCAGCACGTCATCCACCATGACGCTCGTCTCGACATTCTATGTCTTCAACGGCTTCTTTTCAACTAGATTGGCGAATAAGATGATACTTGTTCTCTATGTGCTTCGGCTCTGAGTGTTTACCTGGCTTAGCAGATACTTATATACTTCATCGGTTATCTCCAAACGGCACATGACTCTCAGCTTCCCACTTCAAATCCACGCGAAGCTCTAGTATCCACAATAGATCCTTTGTTCCTTCATTCATCGCTATGTACTCCGCTTCGGTGCTCCTGCTTCCTTGAAGCGTATGATACAACATTACTATCGAGCATCGTCACATACCCACTAGCACGCTTGCGACCATCCTTGTCATTAGCGTAGTCTGCATCCGTAAAGCACGCCAACCGCAGTTTCGAACCATCATCAATGGCTCTCACTAGCCTGTAGCTAGCGACATGTGCCGGGTAGCGGAGCACCCGCTTCGCCATGAGGCAGTGCTAGTAGGTGTAGTTGCCCAGGCACTTCTCCAGATTGCGAATAGGGCAATGTCAGGTTTGGACGCCAAAACTCAATACTGTAGTGCTCCCACTAGCTCGAGGAAGGGTGGGTAGACTTGTTCAGTTGGCAGTTTCACTTGCTGGGGTGACGTCGCCTCAGGCGTCATGCAGCCATTGCACTGAACCATACTAAACTACCACAACGCGTCCTTCACGTAATAGCGCTGGCGGGACATCACCTTCTACTGTACATGGTCAATCTTGATCTCAACCCCAAGTAAGTACTTCACAGGTCCAATCTCTGTCAGTTCAAACTGACGGGAGAGCTGTTGTGCAATGCTGTTGCACAGAGCCGATAGTCCAAGTAGCAATACGTCATCCACATACACCGCCATCAACATAGAAATCTCTTCAGTGACTTCCACTTTTCGCGCGTACAGACTGTAGTCAGGATCCAATCAGGAAAACCCAAGCCGCCGTAGCGCCTCATGCAGGGTGCGGTTCCAAACGTTGGGCGCTTGTCGTAGCCCATACAGCCGCCACAACAAACGACACACAAACACTTCCGGCTCGCGCTGAAAACCTGGAGGCTGCTCCACGAAGACCAGCTCGTCAAGATGCCCATACCGAAAACTATCTTTGCATAGCTCTGCAGAATCACCCAACCTTGCTGCAGTGCGAAGTAGATGGCCGCTCGAATCGTCTCAAATCGGATAACAGGTGCGTACGTTTCTGTGTACGCTAGCCCGTGTAGCTGCTTAAATTTCGTGAATACCAAGTCGATCTTTGAAGCGTTTGATTTTGCCATGTTCATTTCTCTTCACAGCATACATTCAGCAACAGGTAATACATTTGCATTCTTTCATAGCAGCGAAGCTCAAGCGTCCAAGTCCCATGGTATCGCAAGGACTGCAGTTCATCCAGCATTGCCTACCTCCACTGTGACCACCGATGCCCGAGCTTGCTTGTAGGCTGTAGGCACAACCACATCCTCGTGGACAATAACGCTGTTGTTGACGTAGTCTCGTAGACGCACAGACGGCTGTCGCTGGCGCTGGGATCGAGGTGCGCGCTTCACTCTAGTGGCTTCCGCATATGGGGGTGGCACCCAGACTGCATCGGCACACGTATCACGCATGAGCAAGCCACGATCTACTTCGTTACTTTTCCGCTTCTCTTGAATCCGTTTGTCGACGAGTTCGGAGCTGCTGTCGTGTCTCTCGATGACGTGGACGCTTCGTCCACAATTGCAGCCGGTATTTTTGGCTTATCTTTTGCCACAGCCGTTGTGTACGTGCTCATTCTAGCCTTGATGTGCACAACAGGTACATTCGGAGGCAGTTTGTAGTCCCCACCGAAGAAGCAGCTCAACAGGTGCGTTTCCATGTAATCCGCTTCAACTGTAAACGACTCGTGAAATCGGATGTTCTTCTTCCTTGCGGTAATCACAGGTCGGACTTAATGTCAAGCTGCTTGTATCCTTTGCGATCCGTAGCATAACCCCGAAGCAATCATGTACTTCCACGAGTGCCCAGCTTCTCTTTTTTTGTCGTGATCTGTCATTAATGTGCTATTGATCCATGCAGCCCCACGTACGTTGTGATCGTGGGTCTGTTTTGTTTTGCCGTAGAAGACCTTGCATAAGCTTTTAGCTTTCAATGATCTGGACAAACAGACATTCAATGTATCCACCGCGTGCAGGGGCGCTTCACCCCACAGCAGATTTGGTAAGCGCCTCGCTTCCGTAGCATAACCCCGAAGCAATCATGTACTTCCACGAGTGCCCAGCTTCTCTTTTTTTGTCGTGATCTGTCATTAATGTGCTATTGATCCATGCAGCCCCACGTACGTTGTGATCGTGGGTCTGTTTTGTTTTGCCGTAGAGGACCTTGCATAAGCTTTTAGCTTTCAATGATCTGGACAAACAAACATTCAATGTATCCACCGCGTACAGGGGCGCTTCACCCCACAGCAGATTTGGTAAGCGTCTCGCTTCCAACATCGATCTCACTCGCGTCACAATCACATCATTCGCCCGCTCCACAATTGCCTTTCCTTTTGAACTGTCGGCATGGGTAAGCTGCATCCCCTCCTTGTGAAGACCATAACTCCTTAAACGTATTCCTCACAAATTCCTCACCACCATCAGCATGAAACACGAGAATCTTATACTGCGTGTCTTGCTTCTTTAACTTCACCATCAGGTAGCGTAGATGTCTACTAGTGTCCACCTTGGACAGCAGCAGAAACACCCATCTGCAACGCGTGAACTCGTCCATTACCAGTAGGAACATCGTAGACTTCTCAACATCAATCTCGCTGATTGAGCAGAGATCCGCTGAAATCTTCTCTAACTTCTTTGTTGCACGGCGGGAATTTCGACGGTAAGTCATCATTTTCATTTTCGAATCAGCACAAGGATACAGTCATAGCGGCTCAGGTCGTTCGTGTTCACCTTAACTCCAAACGCAGCGCTGTCAACCACCACCTGCTTGATAGTGTCCATGCTCACGTGGTTTAGGCATGAAGCAGGTACATTCCACTTGGCACATCGGTTCGCTTCTGAGCACCCAGTACCAGTTGATGCTGGCGCTGCCCCGCATGCGGTACAGCCCACCACGCAGCACAAACGTCAACTTCCGGTTAGGTTTCACCAACCAGGTCATCAACTGGTTGTCTGACATGACCGGCTTGAAACCACACTTGAACTGCATGTAGGTTTGCGAGGTCCGGTTCACCCTAGTCCGGACAGAGTAGCGCACTTCTTCCAGTGGACGCAT